ATAACTGCCTGTTGTGGCGCCGATAGCCGCCCTTCGCGCCGCTCATGGCTGCCTTTCGCGCCGCTCATGGCTGCCTCTCGCCCCGCCCACGTCTGTCTCTGTTGACTGACGCGGCGCTGTCTGTCTGGACCATCTCCGACTGAGAGGCCGCCCGCAGAGTGACAACAGAGGACATCGACAGGCGCGGGAGAGCCGGCGACAGGGGCTTAGAAACACAGACGTCACGCCACCGAGCTGGCCGCTGCGGCTCACACTCTACTGGGGGAATGATGTGCGCAAACATTAGCTATAGCTATAGGCATATGACCCGACAAGGGTCATGGGCATAGATATAGTTCTATTGTTATAGGGCATAGTTTATATAGGGCATAGTTATATAGGGCATAGTTCTACTGTTATCTATGCTATAGGATATAAAATCCACGCTACGGTAAGAGAAGCTTTATCAAACAGCAAGCATATATGCAGCTAGGATTAGAAATTGATCACCAGATCTTTTTCTCGTAACCTATATTTGTTTTGTAAATCAGCTGAATAGTCAGCTACCTATTCAATTTTTTTTGCAGATTTTCATGAGCATTTTGCTATTCGGAGCACAGCTACTATCCTGATGATATTGCAATCCATTTAAAAGTTTTCTGCGAAAATCAGAGTCGGTCCCTGGACCAACTCATCTTACTGCATTCCGATCGCTTCTCCAATAATCCACTCCCGGAAGCTCAACCAGTCGACATGGCCGGTCGTCACTGTCCGACCTCACCGCGCGGCCACATGCACGGTGACTCATCAAACGATCATCAGCCGCCCGACCCGACCTGGTAGACCGGGTCCGGGTCATCGCACTAACCGCTTCAGCCGCGGCCGTGCCACCGCACCATCCCATCCAGAACTGCGTGCATCTCATTCAGAGCTGGTCGGCCCGGGCCAATCCGGGGAAACCCCTATTGTCTACTGACCTATATGGTTTGGCACGTGGCCAGGAATGACGGTAACTCGGAGTGCTGTGCTGACGGGAAATCGCAGCCCCACGTATAGGAGAGGTGGTGCGCGACATAGCATCTCAGGGGATGATGGAGGAGGCATTATTATGTCTCAGCACGACTGGGAACGCCACTGGTCATGACGAACGCTGAGCCTAACTGGACTCTAGAACCATCCAGGTTGAACAATGGGAAGGCAGATTCCGAAGAATGTTCGTCAAATGAATGCCCAACGTTAGGGACATTTTGTTGACAGGTGTTCATTTAAACTGCTGCTTGAGCAATAGCATACGCTAGTAAAAAAGGGAGAACACAAATTTATACTGATTTATCTGTCATCTTATAAAAACACTGACCTAAAAATGTAATTTTCGTTATACATACCTACTCGTACCAGTTTTATAACAGCACTGGCATAATTGCATCCGTATAGGCCTTGCTGTTGATGCGTATCTCGTAGGTACCATAAGTCTGATGCAGTTTAATCAACGTACGCATAGGATCTGCCCGTCCGACTTTTTCCAGTGTTCTGAGGTCTGCAGGACTATCTCTCCAACGGAAGTAGGAAACACTCGGGAATGGAAAACATTCATCTCCCGATTGAGACCCGCTCTGAGGGATAGCGGCTCTACACTAGCGCCTTTCGTCTTCTTTCGTCACTCGCTGTTGTAACGCCGCGCTTGATCCCGCCGCTCGAAAGTGACGTCACTCCTCTATGAGCGTCACTCAAACGAACCAGGCGCGGATGATCGAATGATGAGCATTGATGAACAGGCCGTTCTCCAAACCAACAGCCACAGTATCGGAGTCGAGCCAATGGCAGTGAGGCGCAGAGAGCAGAGCGGTATTTCCAGCCCCCCCCCCCCCCCAGTGGTAGTCACATGCGGTCATTCCCGGCGGCTAAAATAGCCTTCCAGAGTCGTCTGAGTCACACACCACGGCCCCTGCAGCACTGCACTAAGGACGCCAGAAGTGCCGCGATGGACGGAAACGAACCGTGAAGGCGGGTTGGCCGGCTGACACGGGCCGTGCAGCTGCAGCTCACTCAGGGAGGACCATGCGTCACAAACTCACGTGGACAAAGGCGTCGGGGCTACCAGTACAAGGTCACCCAACTTGGCCTGGATGGATGGATAAATATTCTTGGCTGGATTATGACTGGATAATGGCATTAGTGAGCAAACTAAAGCTCTAGCACTGCGTATTAGAATCATAACACCACGCAGTCCACCGTATATCTGGACATTTCTGGGGCGAGCATTCAGGCGTTTCGCTAAATTATGAATTCCAGAGAAGCCAGCTCGTTTCACGGCCATTCCCGTTTAAATAGGCCGGCAGCAGCGCCGTTCTAGCCCATAACTTGCACCGCGTGTCCGGCTGGCACCGTCGGAGGGGCGGGCCGGCCACTGGGCACGCTCTGTCTCCTGGGCCTCGTTTCATAAAACTCTGCCGTAACTTACACCTTTCCGTAATTCACACCCTTTCAAACTACGGAGCGCAAATAAATCCGTTTCACAAAGCCACAACTGGAATTGTTTACACCTCCGTAACTAAGCACATTTGCGTAGTTACCGTAATTTATCAAGCGTCCTACAAATTACAATTTCATGTCAACACTTATTTTTTTACGAGAATTTATAAAACAATTATGTTGAATTTAAATCTTAAAAATTATGTATGAAAAAACAAAATTGATATTGATGACCATCCTTTATTAAAACAATATATTAAAAACAGCAGAAAGCCAGCTAAGCAGAAGTGCCTAACTACGAAAGTGGCGCGGCGCGGCGAATAAACAAAATTCCGATAGTGGCCACAAAAAGCGACTGGTACAGAAGATTTGCAGTTTCTTTTTCTCATTTTGGCTGTTCTTTCTTCCTCACCGGGCTCAACATTATAAAATATATTAAAAATTAGCTTCGAATCTTCACATTAATTCAAAATCACGCAACATTTTTGTGCGTAGTTTACACCACTGATATCAAGAGCTTGATAAAATATTTGGCGTTAATTACGTCGTTTTATGAAACCCAAATGGCATCAATTGGTCCGGAATCGAGCATTTGCCGTAAATGAAGCTCCGTACTTTCGATGGCGTGAATTACTCCAGTCTCCAGCTTTATCCCGCGCCCTGGTGGGGTCTGTTTATAACGCGACCTGGTGGGGGGGGGGGGGCTATTTTTTGCCCCCCCCCCCCCTCGTATCTCCGAAACTACTGGACGGATCCGCAAAATTCAAACGGCGTTCGAAAGGCCTGTCAAATTTGTCGAGGAAAACCAAATTTCATTGACCTCGGGGTCACCGATGACGTCACAGGTCAGGTCAAAGATGAAATGTTTCACCGTTCACGGGTATTCTAGGGAATGCGCTATAACACCGAGGAAAACGCATTTTGTCGAGAATCAGCGATAGGGCGTCAGTTGCCTAGTAGATATATTACTATTAGAGGTCACTGACAATACCAGGTCAGGTCACAGGTCAGGTCACCAAGGGTCACAGGTCAGGTCACATGAGCCCAACTTTACTAAGGTTGTGTGATGCATGTTTTATGGCCAATTTTTCATTTCCAACTCAATGGTATTGGTTATAAGACTATCAGGTACGGCTTAGGTCACTTTCTGGTGAAGTTCAGGTCAAGGTCAGGTCAAGGTCAGGCCAAAAAAGGTCAAATTTTAAAGTTGATAGTTTTGCATAAAATGGGTATTGATTCGATGCAGCTCGTCACGGGGAGTCTAATGGTGGTCTTTGTTTTGCGCTACGGGGTCTAGAATTGCTAAAAATTGAGTTTGAAAATTTGACGTCATCAATTTTGAACAGTTTTTTCGCTATAACTTCGCCAAAAAAAAGAGGTATCGATCTCAAATTTGGTATGTGGATGGAAGGCGGTAAGGACTATCACATATATTCCGGTTTTTGCGAAATTCAAAAAACTTTTTGGATTTTTCGATAATTATATGCAAAAAAATTATTTTTTGATTTTTGGGGGTCAAAATCCAAAAATTTCAAAAATCCGAGATAGCAGTTTTGTAGCCCTGTTGATTCTACAGCTTTTATGTCTTTATCATTTTTCTGTATTTGCAAAGCTATAGGCCTGACAGCTCTTCCCGCGAAACCCTTTTTTGGGTCGAAAACGGCAGAACATGACGTCACTCTGACGTCATTTCCGGCCAACCTATCATAGCCTTTGGAAAATTTTTTGGTCACAATGTGTAAAATTGATGTCCGGGAGGGTACTGAAAGTTTGGTGACGATCGGCGCAGCGGTTCTGGAGATATATCAAAAAGTCTGGAGGGGGGGGCAAAAAATAGCCCCCCCCCACCAGGGCGCGGGTTATGAAACCGAATTGGCATCAAATACGCCAAATCTGGCATAATTAACGGAACGCCGTAAGTAATTCCTTTTATGAAACGAGGCCCTGGAGTGGGGACGGTGCCAGCAGCGACAGGGGCCGCCCCCAGCGGACGGCCCAACTGACCCCACCGACCCCGCTCAGGGACTCATAGATTGGCAGAGGGTGCGGGACAGGCCGGGATGACGCGCCCCGGGGCAGACTCTTTGTTGGTTCCTGGGACGGTGCGCGGTGGGCGTGAACAACGGTAAGGTCTCGCGAGGGAAGCGAAGACACAATTTTCGCGGCGACAGTGACGTTCACTGTTCACTGTGCAGCGCGAGAAGAACAGAGGCTTCATTTGTAGAAAGATTAAGGCATTGACAAAGTCATGGCGCATGTGATGAAGACTACAAGAGGCATCGGATGTCAACGCCGCACAACCAGCAGAACTGGATAGATAACTGCACCACTAACGTACGACGAGCTAAAATGTCATGTACGATAGGATCAGCTGGATTAAAACTGCGTGAGGGCAAAAAGCTTCTTAGAGAAACGGTTAGTCAGACAAAGCTGACCTTTAAAAATATCCACAACTAAATCGACGCGACAACCACATCCGTCCTAAGAGCCTCTTATCCCCTATCCCGACCACCACCATCACAAGTCCATCCGTCCGTCGGGGCACTGACCTTGAATATGACGTCCGGTGGGATGCAGTGGACCATGAGCTCGTAGAGTCGGGCGCGGACCTCCATCAGCCGCTTGGGCGACTGCTCCTGGACGATCATGGCGGCCGTCTCCTGCAGAAACTGCTCCCAGTCGGGCTCGGAGACCGACTGGGAGGCCGACAGCGGCACCCTGAGGACGGGTCAGGTTAGGTCAGGTCAGGGAGGTTTCAGGTTACAGAACATCGCCCTGCTGCCAGCAGACGGGTCAGGGATAGGTCAAAGGGGGTAGTCAGGTCAAGTCAGGTCAGATGTCAGCAGGCTAGGGGTTCTCTGGAGTACGGTGTCGTGACGCCACCTCATACGCAGGTGTTGGGTTTAACCCTCGCCCATGTAGGGGGCGAGGTTGGTGCAACCCCCCCCCCCCCCCCCTGAGGCTTTTCGGAAATAGTGCAAAAACGGCGGCGCGCAGCGCCGCCAAATTTTGGGTACCTTATGGGGCAAACCTTGCGCATCTTTTGATGAAAAAATTTGACCGGGTCATGTCAGGTCACCGAGTTATGACGTCACAAAGGGAACAGCCTCCGGCCGGATTTTCACAAACTGAGTGCCAACGCCCGAGGTTTCCTGCCGGTGGTACGGACATCGGTTGATGGATCGTGATGAAACTTCCCATGCATGTTGGGGCAAGTATTGGCTATCATATGGTATAAGAAACTTGACCGGGTCAGGTCAGGTCACGGAGCTATGACGTCACAAGAGGAACAGCGTCCGGTACTATTTTTGAAAAGCGCCCGAACCACTATTTTGCTAATTCTTGTCACCTCAATGGGAATATGCAGCAATATTAGCTTCTATAGGGAGCAAATGGACCTCCCAAATCCAAAAATACAATCAGATTTCAAAAATTTAAATTTTGATTTTTCGAATTTCTGCCGCCGACTGTGACCTTGCCGACTTCCGGCGCTCCCAACGCGCCATTTTTAGAGCTAAGGAAACGAAATACATACCAAACGATAGAGAATTGATCAAGGAACACGATAGTGAAGGTTTCAAGTCGATATCTCCCACCGTTTTCCCGCAATTGCCGCGGAAAGTTGAAAAAGTCTATTTTTTTTCGAAAATTTGACCTTTGACCGGTCAAAAGTAGGCCAAATGTTGACCTAGGACCAAAAAATATACCACCAATCGCGAGATCTCGGCGAGAGCAATCCGTTGGTCTTTTCCGCTAAGCTCTACGACGCTCCGTTTTCAAACGCCAAGGGGGGGTCGCACCAACCCCCCCCCCCCCCCCTGCATGGGCGAAGGTGGCAGATCGCCGTTTACGGGCGAGGGTTAAGTCATACCACTGGTGGTGAACTGTATATGCCACTTATTGGCTTTCTGCTGCCGCGCCGGTCGGGTCGTAGTGAAACCGCCAATTGACACTGATTTACGCGATTGTGGTGCCCTCCAAATCGTGCGTAAGTCTGTCCACGGTCCCTGCTGGAACCCTGCTTCCCTTATCGCCACAACACTAGGCGATGATGAGTTTGGGCGCCCCAACTGTGCAGGTCACCGCCGCCCAAGTGTCGACCGACACCTTATGTAAATTGTAACGTGCAGGATGGGTATGACGATTTCGCTTGGAAACATTTTCAGGCTGGGTTGCATAAAACTGCGAAGTGCGAAATATGCCTTAGTTATAAGTGCATCTGATTCGTAAGTTTGTGTCCGCTATAGGCACTACCATGGCGTGAAGCCCGCTTTTACCGAGCGTGGGAAATGCAGAAAGCACGCTATTGTTAACTGCCTAGTGCCTAAGATATTGAGACGAACGTCAAGTGTTTCCTTTATTACTCATTTTGTTTCTGCTAGAAGTTACATCCGACTGCATTAGCGTCGCCACGGGGGGGCAAGCGGGGCAGCTTGCCCCCCCAACCTCGGACCGGGCACCCCCTGAGATCGATACAGATCCGATAAGATTTTGGAGTCGGGGAAAAAATGGGGGTACCTTTCTGAGAATGCCTGTGAGGTCAGACTCTGTTGGAGCGTGCAGTTCAAACCAAAGTCAGAGTCGCAGTCACCAAAATCTTCAAGACTCCGACTCCAGACTCGGAAATGTCAATGCCATGATTCATGTCATGTTCCTAGTTGGTTCTGTATTACATTTTGTAGCTGATTTTCATAAATTTTGGAGTGCTGACACATAATTTTCGTTCAAAGCGTGACACGAAATCTTCGGGGCCTTTCTCAACTCTCGTCAAATGTCTGCGACAGGCACAAGTACCGTTCAAGTGCCGCAGGGCTCATGAGCCTGCTTTTCACACAGGCTCCTAAGGAGCTCCACTGAGCTCTAAGAAGCTTTCGGAGGGCCCAAACCGGCCTCTGAGAGTCCCACTGGTGTCCATGTTCTCTAGAGGGCCCATACAGGGATCTTTGAGAACATTATACATACGTAGACCTCTGAAGGGCCACACGAATCTTTGAGGATGTCTTCGAAAATTTCTGAAAACCTCAACTGGCCTATGATAATTCAGCCGAACTTTTGAGGCGACAGACTTTACTAAACCCCAACCCGGCATCTGAGGGGTCACAACTCACGTGTCCCTCTGAGGGCCGCAACACATGTTTCTTATGTCCCTACCAACGTAGGGTCCTTAACCCGCGCCCCACTGGGGGGGGGGGGCTATTTATAGCCCCCCCTCCCGTTTTTCTGCAATAACTTCCAAACCGCTTGACGGATCGACGCGAAACTTTCGGTACCTTCGGCTGCATCAATTTGACACCTTGTGTCAAAATTTGAACTTCGTAGCTACCATAGGTCGGCCGGAAATGACGTCAGAGTGACGTCATGTTCGTCCGATTTCGACGCAAAACATTGAACCACGGCAATCGCTCCCAAGAGCTCAGTTTTTAAGCTAGATCCAATTTCTTTGCATGAAAGGACTCAGAATTGACCGCGCTATCAAACTGCCATCTCGGATTTTCAAAATTTTGAAAATTTCGAAAATTGTGTATAATAATATTCAAAATTTATATTTTTATATTTTTTTTCAAAAAGTTTTTGACTTTTCTAAAAAACCGGAATATATGTGACAGAACGCATGTTCATGACTAACTCTAGCAAGTTTTAGCTAAATATCTTCAAAAATGACCAAGTTATACGCATTATTGCAAAAAATTCACAATTTTTAATTTTTCAAATCAATTTTTCAGTACGTATTTGACATCGTACACCAATATAAATGGCACCATCGTGTTCCTGAGCTCAAACTGCATCCAATAGACACCTTTTTTGTTGAAAAATTTTAACTTCAAAATTTGACCTTTTTTGACCTGAAAGTGACCTGACCTAGGCTAAATTCGACTCAAAATGACCTCGAATGACACAGACGACATCAAATTCGAAATCTATGGCCTAAATGGACCATAAAACATGTGTCACGTGACCGGCGCATGATATAATATTTTCGTGACCTGTGATGACCTGACCCTGACCTGAAAATCAAATTACAAGTTCGGCACCCTCAAGGTATCTAGAACATCTGTTCACGAGTGTGGAAACCAAAAATTAGCCTGATCTGACTTGTAAGACGGCGGCCAGAGCCCAAAATGTGAACAAGCCAAAATGCTAATAATTTTTACTTTGACCTGACCTGTGACGTCATCGGTGACCTCGAGGTCAATGAAATTAGGTTTCGCTCGACAGTTTTTCTGGGGCTATCAGACGCCGTTTGAATTTTGACGATCGGCCCAGTAGTTTTGGAGTTAGGAGGGGGGGGCTATGAATAGCCCCCCCCCCCCCCCAGTAGGGCGTGTTATACACAGACCCCAGTGGGGCGCGGGTTAAGGATTCGACACAGACCCCGGCGGTTCACACTGTTATTCGAGGGCTCCAGGCTCACCCTGGGCCTAGTCTCTTAGCGCCCGCCGCCCACACTGGCTTCTGAAAGCTCGTGTGCCCTAAAGGGCTTTCCGGGCCCACCTTAGGCTCGGAAAGCCCTAAAGCACCACATACACGTAAATATTTGGGGTGACCCACGCCGATCTCCGGGATCCTAAGCAGGCTTCTGAGAGTCCACACTGACCCTCAGTGGCCTGAAATGGCCTGGAAGTCGCAATCCTATCTCTAAGGGATCCCTTGCCGCTATGCCGTGCGTAACTTTTGGTTCCGTTAAATATTTTTGGTCGCGTTTGCAGCGCTTCCCTTTACTCGAAAAACCAGAAACTTTTTGTTCACACTCGAGTGAACAAAACACTTCTTCTCACTGCAGCAAGGATGAATGATGTACTTCCGATTCACACTTCCGACATTCTCTCTCAGTCTCCGCCGAATGCCCAATTCTTAGCTACAATCGGCGGCTGGGATAAGCCCTATGCATTTCACGTAAAACCTGGGCATGCATGCGTGAATGGAGGTTTTAGCGAGGTGATCCGATTCAAATGGAGCGTTTTTCACCTTCTTCTGGGTAATGATCATGAGCGACAAGAGTCTGCACAGGGGCCCTCTGCAGTGCGTCGGCAATCGCAGCCACTGTAATTCTAACGGTCGTTTTTGTCCAGAAATTTCAAAATTTTGATTTTTTTTTTTTAAATACATGCTATAGCTAGAAGGAAAACTTTGTCACCATCGGATTCCTCGCACCATTGCGCGTCGAATGATATGTAAAACGAGTGAGTAACGGCTGGGGAAAGGCAAGATTTAACACAAAACTTGATTTTGCCCCCCCAACCGAAAATGTCTGGCGACGCCTATGTCATCCGAGACATGACCAGCTCGAGGTTCGCTTTGCATTCTATGATGTAGCGTTATGTGATGCTTCCACTTGTAAGAACAGCGACCGTGAATCCTGCTTATCCTGGGCCCAATCTTACCAAATGCCGTGAATGCGCATTCACGGCATTTGGTAACATTCAGAACTATTCTACATTCGCTTATTTATTCGTTTAGGCAACATTAATTATCATTAACGCTACCAAAATCATTGGACAGGATAAGCTGGATGTAAATAAAAATGATATCATTGGTATCAGTGCCGTAAACTCCGGCCAGTGCTGCGAAATCCTATTTACGGCATTGGTAAGATTAGGCCCTGGTTTCTGTTGATTACAAACGCATGAAAGAGATTATAGGTTTATTGCACATTCACTTAGGTAACAATGTTACACGGTAGCAAATGATGGTAAAGCTCAGGTGGGCAGCATTCCTCC